CAGGTATAGTTAATAAAATTCGCAATGATATCTATACATTTGGATACAGTTCTTGTAAGTTGAAATCGTTGATAAAATTTAAAACAAAAATGGGAGTAACCACATTTTATCAGGCGGGATGCCAGACTCATAAGTTCATCACATAACATACAACCATCTATGTCTGATTTAGAGCTACAGTTAATTTTAATTGGAGATCACTACAGAGCTTTAAGGTCGCGTTTTTCTGGAATCTGTTTAATATTGTACAAAAAAGACCAATATTCCGAGTACTCATTTAACTGTTCGAACCTTTCATTGATTGAAATTAATGTTGTCCAAAAGACAGTTGAAAAATTCAACCTCAAATTTTTTTTCTGGAGAAGTTATAGGGTCATCGCGTGCAATTTCACCAGCTTGACGCTCAATCTCTAGTTCTTCAGCCAACTCCTTTGCAGTTAAAATAACGCTTTTAAAGCCCGTATTTCTGTAGTCTTCCAAAAAATTGCAGCATTTTTTCAACATTTGTGTACATTTACCAAGATCCATATCTGTTGACTGTGGAGATTTACTTACAACATTTATTTGATGAAGTATGTCATACCAAACAACCAATGAAACTATGAAGCTGAAATCTTTTAGTTGTTCGGCTAGAGTAGTAGCTTCATAAGACATTTGAACATCAGTTTTCTAAGTTTCAATAGCCAAAGTAATCAAAGCATCATGGATAGTACTAATTTGATAACGGACTACTGTAACACTACTTATTCTTGCTTCCCAACGAGTGTCACTGTGCTTTTTTATAGTATATAGTCCCAAGTGATCGGTTAGAATTTTCCATCGATGAACAGAAGCTGAGTGGTCTGAAATATCACCCTTCATAGCTAATCGCAAGTGCTCCTGCATGACTAGATGAAATTTGGCTAGTATTTGTACAAAGCCTAAGAACTTTCCGTTATTTGGCGTATATAGTTTGTCAGAAGTGCCTCTGAACGTCATATTGTTTTCGGCAAAATAAAGTGTGATATGCATCAATCTAGACAAAACATTATTCCATCGTTTTTTCTATTTTTAATCGTAGTTCAGCTTCAATCCATGAAAAAGTAAAACTTCTTATGAAAAGTGCTATTTTCATGATTTTTTAATATTTCAGACAAGTATTTCCAGTTGTTATACCCTTGAGATACTAAGTTCGACGTTGAGCTACTATCAAATAGTCTACAACAAAAACAATAAACTCGATCCTTAGAAACGGAGTAAATTAACCAACGGCGCTGAATTGTTTCATTGTTTGTAAAAATTTTTGTGAAATGAGAATTAGAGAAATGTCGGCCTGCATCATTCTTCGGATAATTATCAATGCGAGTTTGCACTGGGCCACTAGTAATTATGTGATCAATGATTTTGCCATTTCGAGTGACTGGCCAAGTGGCCAAGTTAGCTATCCCATGCGAATGAGCTGAGTTTGTTACGCTTCGCTACAATAACGCTAGCTTTTTTTTACCAAAACGTTAAAAGGACAATGTGTTTTGACAATAGACAAAAAAAAACGCTTAATTTAGGGAATTTACGAGACGACTAAGCAGACCTCGAACTATGAGCATCAGCCGGGGGGCGCCTGCAGCGCCCCTTTTTGCCGGCGCCCAGGGCGGTCGCTCACCTCGCCCTACCCTAAAGCCGGCACTGAGTAGGACCATACGTAAATGAATTTAAAAAAAAATTATAGCAAAACGAAAAAGTCATTGAGATCTTCTTTTAAAACAGGGCCGCAATTGATACATTATAACAGCTCCAGAATACTAAATAGTTCTATACGTAAAGTTAGCACCGTATTTGTCCCTCCCCTCCTATTTTTCTCGAGAAAGGAAAAAGCAAAAAAACAATAGATTACACCAATCGACAGCAAAAAAATCGTCAAAAAATCTGTTTTGCCAATTTCCACTATCGCGGTGCTAAGTATACGGATGTTCTGGTTAGAAACCAAGAAAGCTGGTTAACAGAAAAAAGAAAACAGCAGTAAAAATCTTTATGACAAGACTTTACATAAATATTATTTAAATTTAATTAATATCGATTCAGCGTTTGGACAATCGGCAAGAACCATGGGCTAGCACAAACTTGCTATCCGGGTTTAATGCCGAGCTTAAACTTAAGGTTGTGTCTCAAATATAGGGACCTTGCCATAACATTTTTCTGTTATGCGGCAGAATCTGAAGTGAAAATAACATTTAGTAGACTTTCTAATAACGTTCAGAAATAATATAAACTGCATCGCAGTTAGTTAGATAATAATCGATGAATTCTAATATAACTAAACCTAGTATTAAGCAACGTTTAAAACAGCTTATAGAATCTAACAGTTCTGACTGTTGTCAAGATGAAAAAGAGTAGTAAGTCATGAAACAAAGATACAAAATCTAATATATTAGGTAAAGCGAAGTTTGAACAATAACACTGACATATATAAAAAGCTGTACCTACTCTATCACCTAACCCTTCAAACTCAAATTATTGGGTTTGTTTAATTGAATTTGTATAATTTCAATATAAATCGTATCGCAAACATATTGTCAATTTTAAAATTTGACATACGAAAATTTATAATAACTAGTGGGGTGGGTGGCATCGTGCCTTAAGGCAAATTGCTGGAACTTCTCGTACCGTAACGAAATGTTCGAGGAATACTGAATGTTTTCAAATAGATTATTATAAATATTGTAACATTGTCTAATATTTATAAGAATTATATAAACTGAATTACAAAGTTGAAATTATTTGTTTAAAGTATATTAGAACTATAGTCAGAATTAAAAATGAAATCTGAATTATTTTCGATATACAAAAAATTAAAAAAAAAAAAAAAATTGTAACAAAATTTTTCAAAGTAGGTTATGTACACCAACTTGTCGTCTAGGAGTCTATTTTTCGCAGGGACGATTATTGGACTAGAAGCAGGATTTTAGTGATAAGATAACAATTCCACAAATTTTATTCTGCTGACATAGAGAAACTGTATAAATGTTATTGTAAAAATAAAGTTATAATTAATAGTGCAGCGCTAACAATAATTATTGCAAAATATAAATGATATGAATGACTTTTTCAAATAGTATTTGTTATTAATTTTCAGTTTTCTATAAAAAGATATATTGGTTTGCTAATGTTACAATTCGAACTCTATTTCTTTAATTGTTTATTATATCGATTTCACAGATCATGTTACCCTTGTTCCATGAATAATTCTAAAATTAATTCAAGCGTTCCAATATCATTATCGCGATTTTGATCCCAATAATTGCGTTACTAACCGAATCGAATATTATGTGCGATTGTAATACCATTATATGCGATTATTTCAAATCAAGTTTCCCGATTATATCAATACATAACATTGAATATTATTTTCATTCCTGTCAAAACCGATGAGCATTGCGCAAATTGATTGAGCTACAAATAAAATTATTATTCATCGAGGAAATATAGAATAATTAAAAACGAGGCATGCATACAATATCCAAACGATATAAAATCAATTAAAATCAATTGACTTGATAAATGAAATTTTTTATATATTTGGGAATTATTAACCAACTTTTTTTACCAAAGTTTGTATAATGTTGAATTTGTAAATAATTGTTTATCACAAAATAATACAACTAATTTCCAATACCAATAATACCAATTTACTATAATTAAAATAAAATTTATTATGCTGCACTTTTATCATAGTTTTATTTAAACAAATGACATGTTGATTAAATCAAATAGTTTCTTACAATAATTTGCAATGTTTAGATCATTCCATTGCTCTCTGCGTTATCAATTTGATCACCTATAAAATATAAGGATTTATTAAACTTTTCTATAAATTTCCAATCAATCAATTCAAATTTAATCCATTCAATTAAAATTTTATCATGTAGGTATTTTTTGCAAATAATCATGTCATGAAAAGCCTGTGTGCGTAATTACAAATATTGACCAAAAAAACTGAAATATCATCAACACAATCTGTTTTCAGTGATGTTTTTCGTAAAGAGAAATTGATAAATCATTCATCTGAAACATTTTGATCCATCAATATGTCGGTTTGATTTAATAAAAAAAACAATACTCGATACAAAAAGAATAGTGATATTGCCATTTTTTGACGAAGTAATCTAATATATATATATATATATATATATATATATATATATATATATATTTTTGAATATTCTTGAATTTGATGTTGATATATATGTTTAATTTGAGTTTTAATATTCGGGCGTAACATCAATTTTATTGATGTTACGCCCGAAGATTAAACTCAAATTAAACATATATATATATATATATATATATATATAATATATATATATATATAAATGGAAACATAACGTGACTAGGTATGTCTTTTTCCTTAAAGTTCTATCTAGCAAACTGAGGTTGGAATGTAGAACTGTATGTTGAAAAAATTGTAGAAACCAAATGCATCATTAATGATACACTAATTTAATAACATCATAATGCAACTTTTGATATTATATATTTAATACTCTAATTGCTAAAAAAAATCATTTAGACTTTACCCTTAATTTTACTATTGAAACAGTAACTAATGTATGGATTCTATTTGCTAATGCTCTATTTTGTAAAAAACGTTATTTTTTAAAGTTTAGCCTTATTTTTACTATTGGGAAGATATATATACCTACTTTAAAATTAATTGTATTAGTAAAATTCAGCTCGAAGATTTAGAGGTGCTGCAAATAAATCTTTGTTAATCACATTATTAAATTATTAAAAAACATATATTTTGGAAAGGTTCAAGATGAGTTAAAATCAAACCGGGATATATATTTTTATTTGTGATATTATTATGACTGATTGTTTGTTTATAATCAATGATTAAAATTTATATTTAGACAAACTTCATGTTTTATTAATTTCCCGTAGCGTAAGTTACAGTAATTGCAAAAAAAATCGAAATTTTTTATATATTTTTCAAAGGTATTTGAACATTTTGGCATACCTTAGAACAAATTGATGTGTGTGTGCACGATGCCATGCACCAGTAGATTTAATATGTTTTTATAAATCATATTTATTTTTATTGCTAATATGATCATTAAAATAATTGTAATGTAATCTACAAGATAAAATGCAAATTTTGCCTTCTCAATGATCATGTACAGTTGGTCAGGCTCCATAAATTAATTAATTAGTTAATTATAACAATATAATAGAGTTCCATATTTAACTAGTAATAAGAGTTTATGATTTGTTGTTCAAAAATTATTGATCATACTGCTACATTAATTATATTAAAATGATTTTAACAATAAAATTTCAATTGATTAATTATTATAATATAGCTCAGTTCCATATTTAACTAGTAATTTAATGATTAAAATTTAACTCTGAGAATAGAAAGTGCTGGAAATTAAATCTTTGTTTTTTTTGCTTTTTTTTAATTTCAGTATATGTTACAACTGCTAAATAATATAACACCTAGTAACATTAGTGAATAGTAACATAAATATAAATAAAATATAGTACAAAATAAAGGATAGTATTATCATTGAAATGATATCCGTATTATGATGATTTAATGGAAAATAAAATCAAATTATAATAATAAAATTATTAAACAAAATAAAAGAACGTTGTGAACAATAAAAATAATACTAGAAAAACAGTAAAATAGAATAATTTAATATAGTATAATTCAATAATTATACAATAAAGTATATTAATTTAAAGACAAATAATAATAAATATAACAGAATAACAATATTAAAAACTAATAATATAATAATATAATATAATAATATTAATGATAATAATAATAGCATTTACAAATGGATATTTGTGAGATCATTAAGAATTTTTTGTTTTAGCCTGGTTGGGTGCGCTTCTGAAAACACTTTGTGTGCCAAACAATTTGGGTGTTCGTCAATTCTTCTCTTATAGTTTTCTGATTTTTATTTAATTTCTTTATTTACTGTCATCATTTTGTTATATTGTTAAATAATTTTCATTTCTATAACTATGATGACTAATTATATTACATGACATTATATTTAACCACTGAATTTTCCATTTTCAGACGTTTTGCGTGGTCTCGAAGCGATTTAAAAAGAACTACATCCACCGTTTCACCGCCACCAACTCTTTCTTCTGGTTCAGCCCTTTCAGCAGCGCTCGCCGTGCCTGCATCTACCTCAGCACGAACCAGTACTTCGACTACGTCGTCATGGCAACTATTCTGCTAAATTGCGTCTTCCTAGCCATGACGGAAACTGTTGAAGAAGCTGAGTAAGTGATAACTTGTATTTTTTTAATTAAAAAATGATAACCCAAGATGGATTATTTTGTTCTGCAGTCACGTGTAAAATATAGCTATTTTAAAAGCTCCTTGATGCTGCACATTTTTAGATATCAAACCGTTAGCAATAATAAGAGAATGCTCTTGATGATATTTCCTTTTATTTACTACGATATTTAGAACTGTCCAATTAAGGACATTTAGAAAATTTGTTGATTTACAATTGTCAGATGTAATAGGGACATTGCATATCATAATGACATGTTAGAGAAACAACTCAATAGTTGTTTTTTCATTCGTTATAAATAATTTTAACAATATTCTGATGATAACAATATAAACTTAAATATTTTGTTATAAATATAAACCTGAAGATATTTATTATAATTTTTTAGTTAAAATAGCATACTTTTTATCTTAGGTTAGATTACTGTTATGGGATTAGATTTTTCAGTAGATTACTGATAATTCAGTAGGTTAGATTAGTCAGAATTTTGGTTGCATTATAGCCAAAAATTTCATTAACGAGGGGTTGATATTAGTTTTTTCAAATCGAGTTATAATTTTTAAATAGATAATCGTGAATGTATTATTAAAAAATCGCATTGTGATTTTGTTTATTAGTTTTTAAATAGTTATACGGTTATAATAAATAATTAACATAACTGGATAAAATGTATACTATTTATACGCCTAAGCACACACAAAATATAAATATTTCATACATCTAAAAAAAACATAAAAATAAAGTTATATAATCTTATACATTACTCTTTAGGATCCTTATTTTTAGATAGAATCTTAAGGAACCTTATTTTTCTGATACACACAAAATATAAATATTTCATACATCTAAAAAAAACACAAAAATCAAGTTATATAATTTTTTAAATTACTCTTCAGGGTCCTTATTTTAAATAGACTTTTAAGGAACCTTATATTTCTAAAAAAAACCTTGTAGCTAGTAATTACTGAAAAAATTATATGGTATCTTTTTCATATAACACAATTTTTTTTAGTATAGAATTTTGATTTTGGGAAATACGTAAAATACTTCAAAATTTATAAATCAATATGGCATTATTTCACGTATTAGAAATCAATTATTTTTCAGACTATATTGTAAAATAAACTTCAGTAAACGATTTGATTTCAAACATTTATTTGAATTTTTACTATAACGACTAATCTGTATATTCAACAAAATATACATAAACTGTTATATTCAAAACAGGTTTCTGGCTTTGTTGAATTATTTGAAGGACATGAATAAAGGCCAGAATTTGAATAGTAGGTCTAAAGGTAATTTAGTCGTAGTAGTTTAGGTACTTCGCCTTCAGAATACTAATCTGCATTATAAATATGAAATTATATATATATATATATATATATATAATATATATATATTATATATGACAGTGGTCCTTAATATAGATTTTTTTCAATTACCATGCACGCAGAAGCTGAAATTGATTAAAAAAATCCGATAAAGTTTCTGCTCTTAATATTAACTTTGAGATAGTCCGCACTCAACCGTTTCTTAGTTCTTATTCCTGTGTAAATTTGTACTTATTTTATAAAATATATCAAATTTATGTAAATAAGCAAATACAATGTTATTCTTAAACATTTGATATACTTGTCTCTAAGTTATCAAATTCTAAAAAAACAAATGGTATTTTACCCATATTATTTTCATAAGAAACTTTGGTTGAAGTGCGGACCATCTTAAAATTAATATTAAGGCTAAAATTTGCAGAGAGTTTTTTTTATAATTAAAAGAAATATCAAACATATTCATCATAAGGATCCCCCTAATATATATACAGATGTGTGTGTGTTTGTCTATAGATATATGAATGCCCATAGGTAGTGTAACTGCGTATATATGTATACCTATATAAAGAATCCTTGTACATATCAATTGTTACCTCCTGAAAGTAATTCCTTAATGACGGGAATGCGATTGGGTGTGTGTTGTATCCCGGCAACAATAAAAGTCAATCACGTGTTTTGCTGTAATTGAACTTCCCTGTCGTATTACCTGACATCATTCGATTAGATCAGTTTGTCCTGAAGGCATTGTATACACTTCCTTACGAGGACGTGTAACTAACTAATTGGTCGCTTTGGCTCATTTCCGGCTCCTTGTCCGTCCATGCTGAGACCTCGTTCATAATATATCAGAGCTTCCGCAAGACGTACGTATGTCACCTGCTTAATCGCATAATTTCAAATATTCTGTATATATTAGAACAATGACTGACAAACATACCGATATATACACACACATATATATATATATATGTATATATATAAATATGTGTGTGTGCGTGTTAACGTCTCTATAAATAATCCATTAACACTCTATTATTTAATTATACTTCTTATCCTTCTCTCTATCTCTACTACTTGACTCTCTCTAGTCTCTATAATCCTCTTAACCTGTCCTCTACTGTCTCTTGATATCTCTCTCTTCTAATGGCTCTTGTCTCTGCTTCTATATCATATAGCTTATTCTTATAGTTATATTATCCAATGCTATTCATAGCTAATATATTTCATTCATTCAAGCCAACATACAATATAGCATCGCCATCTAGGCATAGCTAACATTCGCCCATCTTGATTTATCTCGACTCGACCTCGACTGTTACAACTAAACTTTTCAATAGCTCTTTAGTCATTGTCATTGTTTATAGTCATTCTGAAGTTTTTATCATTGCTATTTTCACTTTGTATTTTATGTTTTAGCTTATCTTATAAATGATCCATACTATCATTCATACTAACATTTATACAATACAAGGGTCGCCATCTAGACATAGCTAATATTCGGCTATCCTGACTTATTAGTCGTCTTCGACTGTTATTCAAGAGTTCCCATGATTGCTATTTTCACTTTTTTATTGCGTTTCTTAGCTATCTTATAAACAATCCATACTATCATTCATACCAACATCCATGCAATATAGCATAGTCATCTTGGCATAGCTACATTCGGCTATCGTGATTTATAATCGTCCTCGGTTGTAAAACCTAAACTTTTCAATCTTTAGTCGTTGTCGTTGCTATAGTCATTCCGGAATTCTCATCATTGGTATTTCCACTTGGTATTTCGTGTCTTTTCAATTTCGTCTCTTATGAAATCCACGATCCTTTCTTGTCTTCTTAAACGGTTTTCTCACATCTGGATTCTTTACAACTGGACTCTACACAACTGGACTCTTTACAACTGGTCTCTTTACAACTGCACTCTTTACAACTGCACTCTTTACAACTGCACTCTTTACAACTGCACTCTTTACAACTTTACTCTTTACAACTTTACTCTTTACAACTTTACTCTTTACAACTTTACTCTTTACAAATGGACGCTTTACAAACTGGACTCTTTACAACTGGACTCTTCACAACTTGACTCTTTACAACTTTACTCTTTACAACTTTACTCTTTACAACTTTACACTTCACAACTTTACTCTTTACAAATGGACTCTTTACAACTGGACTCTTTATAGTTGGACCCTTTACAACTGGTCTCTTTACAACTGGACTCTTTACAACTGGACTCTTTACAACTGGACTCTTTACAACCGGACTATTTACAACTGGACTCTTTACTTCTGGACTCTTTACAACTGGACTCTTTAAAACTGGACTCTTTACAACTGGACTCTTTACAACTGGACTCTTTACAACTGGACTCTTTACAACTGGACTCTTTACAACTGGACTCTTCATAACTGGACTCTTCATAACTGGACTCTTTACAACTGGGCTATGCCAACTCAATCCAGAAAAACATATGAAGAACGAGTAAAATTCGAGAAAAATGACTAAAATTACAAAATGAAAGAGAAGTTAAAATAGGCATACTTTGTGTAATATGAATTTTCTCTTTAATCTTGTCTTGGAAGTGTTGTGACCTAATTTTTTAGCAAGTGGGTTTGGATGATCCTCGATTTTGCAATAGTCTGAATGTGTTCGTCAATTATTTTTTATTGTTTATGTTGGCGTCTTTATGTATTAACCAATCTGGAACATACAGACGGATACATCTTTTAAATATTTTTTTTTGGCATCCTTGAATTTTTACATCGTTTGATTTGGAAGCTATTCTCCATAGTTCAATACCGCATGTCCAAATTGGTTTAATAGTATTTACTTAATAGCTTTTGTATAAATTTTGTTGTGCGTGTTAAGTTTTGATTTTCGCCCTAAAAAAAAATTTATTCTTAAAACAATTTGTTGAGCTTACATGCTATGATACATAATCAGATAAATGAATTGCCAATTCACGATTAAGCTTTCTGCACAATAAACAAATTGATTTACGCTTGGAAACAGAACTGTATACCACACAAGTTCGTCTATTTTTCGACATAAATCAGCTTTTTGTTAGAAAACATGGCTCTAGAAAAATACATAAATACATATTTCGGTCAAAATTTATGAAAAGGAGTAGTGCATTATGTTTTCATCGTATATTTACACATGTTTATTCTCCTCTTGGAATTCTCGGCATGTATCGTGTCGTGTTTTATACGTATATAAGAAAGCTCATACATTTCGAGTACAATCTAGACAACATGCTGTGAAGGAGTAAGCTGATATATTAATCAGCGCTGTCCAACTTATCTTGCTTCACCTCTCAATATTAACCCACTATTGCTCGGAGATAAACCGACGGCGACGTATCAGATGAGGTACCAGAGGTCGAGAGGACGGGATGGGCGCAATCTGTGTGCACTAAAGCACTTTATAAAGCAGGATTAGTTATTCTACAGGTTCTTAAAGTTTAGTTACCACATGGAGAATAATGAAAAAGATTGTAGAATAGTTTTACGTAAGTTACTTAGGGTAGGGCGGGGCACAAAGGGCCAATTTGTCTTTCAGTAATTATGCTGTCTAAACCGAATGAACTGTATTACGACACATAACACGCATTAAACGAGCAACTATCTGACTATGTTCAGTATAAATCCCA